GAAAAAGAGACAGGAAATCTGGGTAGGAACTAGGCACAAGCTCACGTAACCTTCCTACTAGGCTATATGCATACTTACAAAAAATAAATAAATAAATAAACTTAGCAATAGCTGAGAAGGTGTCGGCCTAGAATGATTGCCCACGTGCAATCACAAGCTTTAATACTCGTATCACTATACCCATAATGCATCTATACTCAAGGGCCCAGGCCCTTGTCCTGTTGCTCTCGTGCCGCAGAAATATTTAATTTCCGGCTTATTCGTTGGCACTCAAACGCCAGAAATTCCCTATTTTCAGAGCTTACCTTCAGTGAAAAACAAAAAAATTGTCTCGCCTTGGTTTCTAACCCATTCTTACCTTGTCCATCATCGAAATAAAGCTTCTCTTCGGTGGAGTCGTCTGACGCATTACCAAAGTACGTCAAACTCAAGGTCTTGATGTGTTTGTTTCCTTGTTCAATATCCAAAATGAGATGGGCTGCTATTAGAAATAAAACCCACAGTCCAACTAACAAGGCGAGTGTAGAAAAGACATCACGGACACTAGCCAAAGGCATCGTGACACGGTTAGCGGTCAGTAAACCGGAAAAATACAAACTATTGACGTTTTTACAATAAATTTACACCGCGTCATCTTATTTAAAAAAGAGAAAACTAATTACCATTCGACGACCGAAAAATGCTTCAAAGATGTTTTTCGTTGCTGTGAAACGGAATGGACGTGGTTGGAACAAAAGTATTCAGATATCAAACCATAACTCCATATGGCTTTTCCCGAAGCTTTTTGCTTGTAAGAGGAGTAAATGATGAAAACCATTTTAAAAATTTCCATCAAACTATCGATGACATTTTACATTGATTTAGCACAGGATCTGAAAAATTTGCAGGGTTTGAGTGAAATTGCCTTCTCTCAAAGGATGAAAAGGTGTACATGTATTATCATCAGGTGGAGACCATGGAGGACGTTGACAATGTCAAAAATTGAAAGCAGAATGCCGGTTAGGCTACTACATGTCAACGATACTCCGATTTCCAGGATTGTCTGGATGAAAGTAGCCCTATAAGCGAGCAATGAGATAGTCATTTGGGAGATTTGAGAAGCTTTATTGTTGGGCGTTGGTACTGGCGCAGGAAATTTAGACAGAATGGATATTGAGTAGTAAACTACTCACTGTATGACATTTAATATTCTGTTTTATTGTGGTAGCGACATTGCCAGTATTTCTTATTTCCAAATTTTGATGTAGGAGCACAGTGGAGAGCTGAAGCTTTAACAGCCAGGGAAAACACGGGACCATCCTACAATGCTGTAAACTAGGACAAGGACAGAGCTGAGATACGCTCTGGATGTCTTTCATGAATTTAAGACTCTTTCAGTTGATTTATTTTTAGTTTAAACTCATCGTCTGTGTTTGATATATATTATCGAAAGAAAATAATGGATTAATATCCCTCTCTTTTCCCCTTTTTTTGTATAGCTTATTTATTTATTCCATCGGAAAAAAATTGTTCACTTACAAAAATGATTTAAGTTACAAAGGAAACAAAATACATAACAGGTACAAAAGGAAACAATACGCGTTATCTTACACTACAATACAAAGATAGGTGAGTGAAGTTAATTAATTGTTAACGTTAAGCACAGAAAGATATAGTATGAAAATATAAAATAATTGTGGAAATTAATGATGCATTAGCCTGATGCAGAAGCATTTTGATTCATATTACGTTTTTAATTTCCTTAGACGATTTGTAATGCTTGATTTTTGTCCAAATAGAAAAACAACTCGTCAATATCATATTCTTTGGAAACATTTTTGGATGTACAATATATTTTGCTAATAGTAAACGTTAATAAAAGCGCGCTCAATCTAACTAGAGGTGTTTGTGGTTATTCTGAATAACTTTGCGTATTGCTATGGAGAGAAAGTACATTAAAACGGCATTTAAGGAAGGTGTGGAGAACAGAGTCTGGCTCTTTGCAATATATACACTTGTTCTCATTGGCTACACTTTTATAATTCTTATATGCTGTAGCTTGAAATTAAATTCTGGTTATCTATTTTTTGGCAGTTGCGGTGAAATTTGAGCTAGATGAGCCAATCAATCAATCAATCAATCAATCAATCAATGTTTGTTTATTTATATCCCTTGCAGAAAATCTGAATTACAGGTGTAGTCAGCAAATTGTATACATGGAAGTAAGCTTACAAAAAACAATAATAAATAATGGATTTTTATACTCTGCTTTAAATAAGTAGCAAACTTGTTCGTTACAAACTTTCCAAAACGGTCAGTTTTTGTGCTTTTCACATAACTAGTAGAAGACCTGAGATTGTACTTGTTATTTGGTTGAGCGAAGCGGCTTTTGACAATATAGAAAACAAGGTTTGACGGTGTCAGGTTCGTATAAGCTTCTTACAAGCTTCTTCGCACCTATCCGCAAGCGTGGCGATCCGAGACGCAGTTAGCGCATCTGCATATGCAAGGTTCGGAAAAACAATGGCAAGTGCGCGTTTCTGGACCTCTTCTAGGGCCTGTGATAAGTATGGGCGGTCATCACGACCAAAAATACAAGGATGTCAAATAGATCAGTACATACAAAGATGGTTTTAGGATCAGCTGCAGAATAGCATAGCTAATAAAGGAATGGCATGGCCAAATTATAGACAATCTAGGTTTCCTTCGTGAAACAGAACACCCTAAACATAAATAGTTTAGCCAAATGATAAACAGTCTACTTGCCCACGTCGAGTTGGAACATGAATTTGTGAAATGGACTAACTAAATTGCGAATAGCCTAGGATTTTTAAAAATCAGCAATTCCTAAATCATTTTTCCTTATAAATATTGTGCCGCATGCTTATAAATGTTTCATAGTTTTATAGATTATTAATAATTTTATTGTAAGCCTTGATTTTTAATTACTTTTTTCTTGTAATAAGGGCCACTAATTTATTAGATGCTATTTCGTGCTACCCTCGCTAAATAAAGACTTTACTTACTTACTCATTTGCAATACAGTACACAAACGGTGTAGCGTTGCGTCAAATGACTCAGCGTTATGTCGAATGGTACAGCGTACGTACAAACAGTGTAGCTTTGATTGAAAAGGCTCAGCGTAATGTGGAATGGTACAGCGTACACACAAATGGTGTAGCGTTACGCGAAATGGCTCAGCTTAATGTCGAGTAGCCCAGCGTACGCACAAACGGTGTCGCGTTCAAATGGCTCAGCGTAATGTCGAATGTTACAGCGTACATACAAACAGTGTAGCTATGCGTGAAATGGCCCAGCGTAATGTCGACTGGTACAGGGTACGCACAGTGTGGCTTTGCGTGAAATGGCTCAGCGTAATGTCGAAGGGCACAGCGTACTCTCAAATGGTGTAGCGTTGCGTGAAATGACTCATGGTAATAAAGAGTAGCACAGCGTACGAACAAACGGTGTAGCGTTGCGTGAAATGGCCCAGCGTAATGTCGAATGGCACAGGGTACACACAGTGTAGCTTCGCGTGAAATGGCTCAGCGTAATGTCGAATGGTACAGCGTACATACAAATGGTGTAGCGTTGCATGAAATAGCTTAACGTAATGTAGAATGGTACAGCGTACATACAAATGCTGTCGCGTTACATCGAATAGCTTTGCAAAACGTCAGCCGCTCTAGCTGACCATTAAACTGCTTAGGATTACATGAAATATTTCGATGTTGTGGCCAATCGTCGAGCTTGTTTGTGGTGTGACGTAAAGGCTTACTCACCGAAACCACCAAAAATACAAACCGCAAATGGAACAGCGATCTGCCGGGGGGGCATGACGTCATCGAAGGTGAAGACTGGCGCAAAACCATCACCGTAGTGTCGCTATGTTTAAGAGTCATCACTTCGCCTTGCCGTAAAGCAGAGGCAATTCGATAAGTTTCTCCTCATTATTTTCCCCTGAAGATATTGCGTTTATTAGTTGTCGTTGATGAAAGCGCAAATTAAAATAGCAACGAAACTGGATTCTACCACGGTTTGCCGGCCTTAACCCCTTCCGATTTACCACAGTTTGCACGCGTTGGTGAGCCTGAATGTTTATAGAATTAAGTTGTGTTATGACGTGCATTGAATGTCAGTTGCCGAGCTCCCTTTTTCTTTCTGACTCGGGCTTACTTTTCACTGAGAGTTTACTGCAAAGGCTCTTTGAACGCTGCAAGAGTGCGTGAGAAGTTGGATTTTGTGTGTCTTAGACGCCTTGGTAAGAAAACCATATCCTTGATCTGTTTGAATTTCTTCAATAAAACATGTAGTGTTTGCCAAAGTAACATTTTTCCGGGTCAAGTGGTTTTGAGCACATACATACCTTCCTTGATGTGGTAGGTCTGCCTTAAAATTAGTAAGAAAACGCTCAAGGGAGGGGGGGGGAGTAAGAAAACGCTAAGAAAACGAGAAGAAAACGAGTAAGAAAACGAGTAAGAAAACGAGTAAGAAAACGAGTAAGAAAACGCTAAAGGGAGGGGGGGGTCAACGGTCCTTTACATTTATAGAGCGCAGACTTCTATGTGGATATTTCACAATTCACGAAAAAGAAAATCGGCTTAATAACGGGTGCTGAAAATATCTAAGATATACTTAAGGTTACTTCCCACCTTTGCGGGTGTCCTTCGGGAAAAAATCGTACGCGCGCTGGTTTCACTAAAATCTTAGCAAACTATATGTCAGGGGAAAGCTAAATAAATGCAGATTAGGATAATATATAATTTAAGAGACTTTTCTATTAAGGAAGTGTCAAGAGCCGGCAAGGCGTGAAACGACCGAATGTTCTTCTATTGAATTCATCGGATATCGGATGCAGCAGCACGAGCAAAATGGCTGCACAGTCTCATTCACAAGGCATCAATCAACAAAAGTGCGTCAGGCTTTTTCGATATTCTGATTGGTTCCGTAGATATCGGCATCTAAAGTGGGAGTAGCTAAGAACTGATGTGCGAATCGTTTCGTAAATGGACACCACGGGACAAATGTTCCAAATATCAGAATTCCCCGACACACTTTTTGGAACGACAACGAACAATCGCAATATCGGCAGGAAAAAAAAAAAGAGGAGAATCTTACAAAATTGCCTCTGCTTTACGGCAAGGCGAAGTGAAGACTCTTCAACATAGGGAGTGCACTTTTACATTCGATTTTAGTGAATAAATGCAATATTGGCAGGGAAAAATAATGAGGAGAAACTTATCGAATCTCCTCTGCTTTACGGCAAGGCGAAGTGATGACTCTTAAACTTAGCAACACTAAGAGATGGTTTTGCGCCAGTCTTCACATTCGATGACGTCATGCCCCCAGCAGATCGCTGTTCCCTTTGCGGTTTGTATTTTTGGTGGTTTCGGCGAGATAGCCTTCACGTCACGCCACAAGCAAGCTCGAAGATTGGCCACAACATCGAAATATTTCATGTAATCCTAAGAAATTTAATGTTCAGCTAAAGCGTCTGATATTCTGCAAAGCTATTCGATGTAACGCTACACCATTTGTGTGTACGCTGCGCCATTCTACTTTACGTTGAGCTATTTCACGCAACGGTACACCATTTGTGTGGACGCTGTACCATTTGACATTACGCTGAGCCATTTCACGCAACGCTACACTGTTTGTATGTACGCTGTGCCATGTGACATTACGGTGAGCCATTTCACGCAACGCTACACTATTTGTATGTACGCTGTATCATTCGACTTTACGCTGGGCCATTTGACGCAACGTTACACCGTTTGTGCACTGTGTTGCAAATGAGAGCTAGGCTATTCGCAATTTAGCTAGTCCATTTCACAATTTCATGTTCCAACTCGACATGGGCAACTAGACTGTTTATCATTTGGCTAAACTATTTATGACGAGGGTATCTGTTTCATGAAGGAACACTAGACTGTCTATAATTTGGCCATGCCATTCCTTTATTAGCTACGCTATCCTGCAGCTGATCCTTAAACCATCTTGTATTTGTTGATATTCTTGTATTTTTGGTGGTGACGGCCGCCCATACATATAGCCTGCGGTTGGCCTTCTTACCTATGTAGTCCGTGTGCTCCCCCCAAGTCAAGTCGCTTGATAAATAAACCCCGAGAAATTTAAACGACTTGACACATTCAATTACAGATCCGCCGGTTACCAGGGGAGGGCAGACAACGCTATTATAGTGAAGAAAGTCCTCCGCCATAGATTTACACTACTTGGGGTTCAGGGACATATTATTATCTGAAGCAAATGTCTGAATGGAATTTACAATGTAACCCATGACTGACGGCGAGTTCCGAGGATGAGGATGAGGACATGGAACAAGAGGTCTCTGGAATTTCCTGGTGTACAACGTAAACATGTTGACGACCAAGGAAAACGCAAAGTTGCCGAAGAACCTGCCACAGGCATCCCACGGATTAACGTCTCAGGTGTTGCATGGTACAAAGGAAAGTTCAATGATACTTACATGACATCTTAGAATGCTCTGGAGTTGATACATGGACAGATGGATATAATTCTTAAGATCATCCCGGAAAACGCGAGGGTTAACAGCAGTTGTTGATTTGACAGTGTTCCCTTCCTTAATCATGTCAGGTAAATCCTTTAAATTTTCATTAGGCCATAGAGATGCCGAAGAAGGTAAATAGGTGATCAACAGATCACTCATCAATTGACAGTGGTTGTTCTTCGAGTGTCGGAAATAATCAGAAACAATCTGCCGGCCAACATACCGTTTACGTCTCATTTGTTTTAATTCCTTCTTTTCCTCTTGGCGGTGGCCGCAAAATTACACCAATCGTTGTTGCTTCCCTTTTTTACGTTGTTGAGTGTTCAAAAACAAATTTGTATTTGTAGATCCCACTTATGCCTCCACAGATCTACTTATGCCACCACAGCATCAACTCAGCAGCACCCCCTTTCAACTTAAAAATTGTTTCCCCCTCCCCCCATACAATCGATCTCCTTCCTCAAAAAACGAAGAAAGCTTTTGTTAAGTATCTGTCAAGATGTGGTTGCGTAAAATTGCTTTGAGAAACGGCGAGGCGAGTTTATAAAACCACAATCGTTTTGATTTGGGTAAATCTGCGACTACAATGTTAGCAAAGCCTTTGAAAGCCGGTTCATCGCTTTTATCCGCAAGGTTTGATGAACCATACGGGAATCCGGCTGGCATGTATGGGAGTTTGTAATGTAGTTCACCTTGTACTACATACCACTGACCACAATGTCTTTGATAGCCAACTGAGTCGTGAAAGTTTGATTAGAATAGATTGACATATGTGGAGTTATAGCTGAGAGCTGACCATGTTAACTGTCTGTAAATTCAAAATTTTATGGCAAGAAACTTGATAGAACTAAAGTGACACAGTTTATGAAAGCAATTTGTAAAACAGAAAATGTGACAAATCATTAAACTGGGATCCTTCTTCATTTACAACAGCAAATATATTTTTTTTAGAAAGATTAACCAGAACTTAACAATTGGTCACAGTAGTTTTTCCTCAAAGTTTGAAGTATTGGATTCCATTTCATTAAGTTATTATTTTACCAATTATGGGATTTTCCTCAAATTGTTCAACCAGATAAAAAATGAGTGAAGTTCCTTTGCAAAATTGAACCATTGTATGAAGCCCTGCTACTTAATGGCAACCATTTTTATTGTCCACATGGAGTCATGTTATTGGCATCAAGTTTTAAATCATTTGAATTCTACCTTTGTCAGAATTTAATGCAGCTGCTTTCATTGCTCTCTGAGAAAATCTTCTGATTCAACCTCCAGTCATGAGAACTTAAGGAAAACGATGTCAATAAGATGTAATGAACTTCTTTACTTCTCTCTATTCTTGAAATAAAATAACACCTACAGAAGATGAAATGTCTCTAATTTTATATGATGGCACAACTGGATCTTTGCGATAGGATGAAATGACTACTCCTTAACACTGTTTTTTTTTGTCAAGTACACAAGCAACCATATTAAACCAGAAAATAGAAGGTAAAATATTAAAACATGTGCAAGTTATTTACCAAAACATATTTTTTCAACTGAATCCCTTAGCTTGCCAAAGTGTGAATGGCCAATTATAACATGTCAACATAAATGACTTTGGAAGGATTTCTTGCAGCAAAACATCCTGGTCTTTGAATCTCAATCATGTATACATCTCCTGATTTGGGTTGCAGAGATCTTTACTCTCTGTCTGCATTTAAAACTAGAATGTGAATCTAGAAAGATAAAAAGGAGAAGAGTCAATAGGTGAAGGTAAAAAAAGAAGCCTGGCTGTCAGCACAAGAAGTAAAGACATTCTACTTGGAATGGTAAAAGAAACTCATGGAAATAGATAAAGGTTGTGGTTTAGGAATTTGGAACAATTCAACTGATAAAAGTGGTTCAGATTTGCATTTCTGTACATAACATGTAAATTATTTTTATCACTTTGGGATTGTCAGATATTTTTTTGAATATTTTTAGAACTTTTAGTAGACTGGTTTTGTATAAATGAACCCACCTGGTACAACTTATTTTGAATTCAAAAGATGTTTGTGTGTTTCCTAGTAACTTATCTTCATTGTTATTTTATGTTGCATTTTTGCTAAATATATCATAATCTCTTTTTCCCTTGATTAGTTGGAAAAATCAGATCATTAGTTTTGTTTGGTCCAAGTGGTTGTGGCAAGAGTACTCTTAAAAAAAAGCTGATGATTGATTATCCTGCAAAGTTTGGCTTCTCCATATCACGTAAGAAATATGTTGTTTTCACTACAATGGGCATCAAAATTCGTTTACCCATGTTTCCATTTTCAAGGATGTATTTAGAAATGAAATTTAAATTGAAGTGCAGTTTGCTGCAGTATTCATCACCCTGCATTCAATATTTTAAAATCAAAGAAAACAAAAATGCAACATATGCAGGAAGAGCAGAGTTGAAAGTAAGGGTATCTGGATAAGAGTGGTATTCTTTTCCAGGATATTGCAATTTCAGTGGTAATGTGTCAGCAGTTATGTCTCTGATTGTAGAATCCAATAGGGGGAAAAATATTTACCAATAATGGCAACTGGCCTTCAGAAGCTTGAACCATCAAAGTGATAACTGGATCAACTTGTCATCATTTTTCAGACACTACAAGACATCCTAGACCTGGGGAGACAAATGGAAAAGGTAAAATGCAGCAGGGCTGTATTGTTTCACCTATTTTTGTTTTGTTTTGTTTTGTTTTTTTTTTTGGGGGGGGGGGGAGGGGTGAGAGAAAAACCTGAAGCCAAATTTTTAAATGTCTTGTCTTCTTTATTCCATGCTAATGTTAAGGTGACAAGTTTCACATGCCAACCACTGTACACTGCAATAAAAACTTTTTCTTTATGAAGTATAAGTTTGGTCCTGGTGACAACTTTCCTGTATTACCATTGCCCTTATTAGAAAAGAAATATGGGGACTCAGAGATGCTATTACAAAATCAAAGCCTTTGACATTTAAATGTCTGAACTATATAAAGAATCGTAGAGTTAAATTTGAAGGAAATGCTGTCACCTAACATTTTTGATGTGCACAAATTCAATTTTGTCTCAACCTTTCATTTGTTTGAGATTGTTCTTATGAAAAGTATTACAGATAATTTTTTAACAGGTAAGGGATAAAGTGACTATTACAATATTGTTTTTGACAGGCAAGAATTGAACTTAGCTTGTAGCATCATCAACTCTTTGACTAGTGAAGTTTTCTCTTTGCATTTAGATTACCACTTTACTGATCGCAATGTGATGCAGAAGAGCATTGATGCTGGTGAATTTATTGAGTCAGCAATTTACAATCAAAATCTTTATGGAACTAGGTAATATAATGAATAGGTTGTAGCCTGTTTGTTGTAGGGGGAAAATGAAGTGGAAACTCCTGAGTGAAACTTGTTGAAACATATAAACAAGCTTGGTCAAGCTTGGGGAACATAATGCTATACAAGATCAGATCAGATCCCCATGTATTTTATATAGCTTGCATTTTGTTTCTTATGAGTGAATTGTAATGGGATGCCTAAATTTAAATTTTTCCCTGTTTCAGGGAGTCTTATTTCATGATGTTGCAGTAGTACATGAACAACTTTTTCCGATTGTGAATACATTTCCTTCAAAACTTGTATCAGGTTTGTTGAGGGACTTTGAGGCCAACAACAAGTACAAAGCTCAGAATAGAGTATGAGCAGAGGAAACATTTTTCCATTGAGAGGACTAGTCACTTTACCTTTAGATAGATGTAAACTCAATGCAGCTTTTATGTGTCTAGTTTTCCTTGTTAGTTCCTTCCAGTTATCATTCTCCTCCTTAAAATAATCTACTCTTAAAAAATCAGCAAACCCACATAGGCCATGGCATCTAAGGGCGTGGATGCAACACACTTTTCAAACTCAGATTCATTATTGTTATTTATCTTGTTGAAGTAAAAAGGCAGTACAAGATGTTTTGGGTGAAGGAAAAGTTTGCTTGCTGGACATAGATATGCAGGTATGACTAAAAGAGGAAATGTACCATTCTTATACAACAGGGCAGGAGTTTAGAATGAGATAAGAATGATGAGCGAGGATCATATAACTTTCAAATGGCCAATGTTTATGAAAGTGAAAGCATTAATCTCTTAACTCAGCTTTGGGAAATAAATTGTTGTTCTCATTAAAAATGCATTACGTGCACATCTGAGTGAATTTTGACACTGCTCTTTTCTTGAGTAAATGTTTCTTGTATTTGCCAAAATCCGCCTGCTCCATTTAGATATTCAAGTTCGTAGAGCTTGGAGCCCTTCTGCTCCCTTTATCTCTAAACACAAAGCAGTGGTATTATTATCAATTTGATACAGGTAGGGTTTCTATATAAAACGTGTTGTAGTTTAAAGCCTTTATCAGTGTAGGTCTTTGATGGTAAGGATTTTTCAAACAAAGAAGTGACTGAATATCCTCCTGGTTTGCCTATCAGATCGTTTACGGTACCTCTTTTCGTATAAACGATAGTTAACTAGGCTTTTCTCGAACATCGTGTAAATAACCACCAGAAGCTCTCCTCCCCTATCCTTAGTTCAAGGGAAGTCGCGTAGCCCGGAGGCACATGTGCTTCAACTTATTATTATGGAAAATCGATCAGAAATTTCTTCTCGAAAGAAACAGAATGAATATTCACCCAGAAAGCGATTGTTGAACCAGAGGAAAATGGGGATGGGATGTAGGTGGGGGGGGGTAATCAGCGAAAATGGACTGATACCATAAGAACTGGGCAATGCTTATGATTGTAGGGGTTGCGTATTGTTTGGATAATTAGTGGTTTAAGACTTGTCGTGTTTAGTCGCTTGGCATCAGGGCCAGTACACCATGCGCGATGTTCACTTTGATTGTCTGTTTGCTTATTTTTTGTCTTTGTAAACTCAGGGCGTGATTAGTTTGAAGAGAGCAAACATGGATTGTTACTATGTCTTTGTTAAGACATCTACAATTGAGGAACTGGTAACTTACCTTGATTTTGTATTGCATGTTTCTTACTATTCCTGAAATAATTTTTCATATGATGATATCATTAACGACTCGATAAGATTTATTGTCGATGTTTTTGTTTTTGACGTATAGGAAAGACGCCTTCGTGCTCGAGGAACAGAAACAGAAGATTCACTCTCAAGGAGACTAGCTGCTGCAAGGAAGGAACTACTGTATGGTAGGACTACAAGAAACATGCATGTACTAACTACTGTATGGTAGGACTAGAAGAAACATGCATGTACTAACTACTGTATGGTAGGACTAGAAGAAACATGCATGTACTAACCCTTTTCCTATGTTTCGCGTTTTTTTCTTTTTTTTTGTTTTGTTTTTTTTTTTGACCGTCTTCAGATCACTTGTTCACTTGAGAACCACTCGGCAAGTTTCTAACTTGCTTCAGTACCTTGATTTGAGTTTTATTTGTAGCCGTACCCTTTCCCCAAGGGGAAATGCAAGGGGGGAGGGTTGGTTACACGTAGGCTACGCGAGAAGCCATTTAGAAGGCAAAAAGCATCCCAAGGGGAAATGCCCTGGAGAATGAGCGAGATATAAGAATTTGAAAGAGAATGAACGGTCGCATTCTTAACCTTAATAGACTTGATGAAAAGCAAACTTACTTCGCCCTTGTGATTGTTCCTTCGCATCTGGTGAGATTACTTGGCTAATTTACAGCCGTTTAAGGTTTTTAGTTCTCCTGATTTTCGATGTAAAGATCAAATAGAAGAGCGATTAATGTGAAAGATGAACAGAAAAGGAACTAAACGACCGTTAATCGGCCTAGAAAATTCACAAGATGTAGAGGGAATACCCAGAAGAGAGGTGTTTTGTTGTTGAACGAATCGACCACACATTGTTTAAGAGAAACCACGAGGTGCATATGTGATACCATGTTTTAATGATCAAGATAAGTGTGGACAGTTTTTTTCTTTTTAAGAGTTGATTGGTATAATGAGACTTGAAAAAACAAATAGGTCAGGGAGATCGAACTTGATGACAGGAAGTGCCTTTTTTACTTGTAAAAAATGCACAAACCCTGATGTCATAATTTGAAGGTTCAAACAAGATACTGCAATCGATTACATTTCTTTAAAGAAAAATCATCCGAAAAGAATGCAACATTTAAAATGCACTAACATTTTGAAGCACTTTCTTAATGTTTTTGCAGCATATTCGCCTCTGATTAGTCACGAACAGGATGATTTTCCTGAGTGACCATACTGTAGCGCTACACACGGAACCTCAGAATTATCGGCCGTTCGGTGTCATCTTTCGCCTCAGCTGGACAAACTGAATTTCAAAGTCCCTCGAAGGCAATCAGGCTTTAGTCAGCAAAGTGAGAAAATTCCATCGCATAGATCATCTTGGTAGAGGTCAAAATCTAATGTCCGAACTCTGAAGAAGAACATGTAGACATACCTCGAGTTCATCATCAGTCTTTTATTACAGCAAATGCAATTTTTCCAGCCCGCGCTTTTGGTAGGGCGGCATGCCGTCATTTTCGTCGACGGTCGCTGCCGACTAATATGTGGGAGCGAGATACGATTGTGGAACATATATGAGATCGTTTATAAATATGACACATGTTTGGGTCCGTGCAAACTACTTATCGGTTCTTTGTTGCTCATATTGCAGGTGAAGAGCCTGGCAATTTTGATAGTGTGATTATTAATGATGATCTTGAAAAAGCCTATAGCGACTTAAAGAATAAGATTCACAAGGTAAGAGAGATGCCTTAATGTAAAGGAAAGGACAACAACATGTCCCAATACTAGTAGGGAGGCATTATCATAAATGTCTTAGTTTCCATCCTTGTTGTGTGGACAAAACAATTCATCGGCAACTTCGTCAGTGTCAGTTAACATGACTTTGTTATCTGCGGTCAGAGGAAGTTTCCTTTGGTCCACACTTCATAGTGTAAGACCTCGCACTCCATTTCTTTGAAGAATACTCGTTTCCAAGTAAGTCACAGATCTTCAAGAGAGATAAATATCGCTCTAAATCGCTTATCAAACTTTTAAGCACTCATCTCGGAAAACTAATTTTCACCTCGACAATTTATCTCAGTGAGAGCGCTTTTGAGGAGGGTTAAATCATTGAATTTATTGTGGTCTTAGGACCTATAATTTTGGTCCATATTATTTTTCTTTTTCATTCAGGATGTTGTTTCCCTCTGGTAGCCTGTCCTCGTGATGAATGGTAACAACACAGAATTCAATTGCCAACTGTATTGTGATTATTCATGCAACATTTCGCCTCACTTGATGCCATGTGTTAAATCAGAGAGTTGTCTTGGCTCTAAAAAGCGAAGGAATTAGGTCATTTAGTGCAGGTCAAATTGGGAGAAAACTTTGAAGATCTGAATATTCATAGTTAAATCATGTCGGTTTAGTTTTACCAAAAAATCTAGAGTTTCTAAGGTATTAAGCTTGGGTTTTAGTTCTTTATGAAGAACTGACGTTATTGCCTCTTTTTTATGTTTCTTTGTTCGCTGTATTTTTAGATAAAAAAATAAAAGTTGCTCGTATCCTTGTTTGCCAATTTGTTTGGCTTGTGATTTGGACAATGCTGTTAGAAAAATGTAAACTGTTCATCTCGTTATTGCAATGTGTAGTGAACTCCCAAATAGTGAGAAAGTCTGATCTCCACATAAGTGCAGTGTTTTGTTGATAAGAAAGATGATAATGATGAGGACAATGATAATGACAATGATGATGACGATAATGGTTACAGTAATAATTTTACGTGAAGTAACAATAATAGCAACAACAACATGATTAAGCCTCCTCAGTCCACGGTGATCCCTCTCACAGCTTCTCTGTGGGTCTTTTCAGCTCCGTTTTGTTCTTCAGTGTAGTAAATTTTGTATCTTGGGAGCTCAATTTATTACACCCTCAATTTATTACACCCTAACTGTTAGCGTTGCTTTGATCAAACAGATATTTTGTGCATGCAACAATACAATGCGTTACATTCGGTTTATTCTAGTTGTGGATTTTAAGACTTTGATGTTTAAATCCAGACTAGGTTAACATTTACAGCTCGCACCTAATTAAAAAAGCGAAAAGAAAGAAGTACAAAACGAATGATTAAATTATTAGTTATCATTATCGAATAGAGAGTTGAATTTAAATTTCCTGAAAGTTTAAGTATTTACGATAACACCTTGGTCTTTCAAAATATCTGATATCCTTCCTCCTTTCAAAAGAATTGGTTGCCAAAGACTGATTATAAAGGAGTGGTTTCATCCCGCTAGTTAAGGTCATTCCAATAATAATTTGTGGATACGGTGTAGTTTTCTAAGTCGCTATCCATCAGTTTTATAGAATTTAATCTCGTTAATAGTTACAAAATGCAAACTAACCGTTCTCGAGACTGAAGATGAAGCCCCAGGAGTCGTGCATTATATGATCTGTTCGTTTTGTTGCCATTCATGGCGATTTGAACGCTTATAACTGTTAATTCTGAATTCTTCGTCACATCAAAGTTATTCACATTTTGTTACTTAGTGTAGTTAGTATCAACTTTTGTTAAGCTGATGGCAAAGTAAGTAATTTCTTCTTAGTTCCTCTTTAAATAAATCTCTATACGGTTATTCATTTTCCGAGGAAAATTGACACACTAATATTCGTAGTCATATATCCATGAACTTTCGTTCCGGAGACGGAAAACTACAACACTTAAGGCCTTCAAGTCTACGAGACAACTTTGTTTATGTGTTAGACATATCTGACGGAATTAACGAAGTTGAAAAAGGTCCAAATCCGATCGCACTCAAACCTTATTATCTTTCAGTATCTCAAAGGAAGGATTGTCTTCTTCATCACGATTCATTGTATGAACCATTTCACGTTATACCCCTTCCAAGACTGTCTAATACAGGGAAAGCGAAATATTCTGTGATCGTGTCATGGCGTTCTTAAAACGTAAGTCTGTCAGCGTTGGGTTCCACATTTCTTAAATTGCGTGTACTTTAATCGGTGTCTCCTCGGAAAGAGAAGCTTCTTGGGGTGACATTCTAAGGGGATTTAAACCAAGTTTAGCATTAAGCCGGCGACAGATAAACTAACTTACTTAGTCTAATAAGTAACCAATATTTGAAGTCAAGCATTCTTCTTAAGCTCCTGTTACGTTGTAACTCCCCCACGAAGGAGAAAACTTGCTAACCTCGTGATTTTCTGTCTGTTGAAATGAAATACGTCACTACTTCTGTAAGAGAAAAACTGCCTTTGGGTTATCAGTTTAATATCTTGATCAATCTTGCCCAGGATTTTCTTTGACCGCGGGAGCTTTAGTTTAATAACCTAAGTTCAACTTTCAACTGTTAGCTCCGATTTCTAGACGAATATTGTGAAAATTTGACTTTTTGTTCCAAACTGTCCAAGAACTCAGAAATTAGAACAGGAAAACAAAAATCACACTTTGAAAAGCAAGCAAAGGAAAATCGCGTGAGTGATTTTGTGAATGAGATAAATACGGCTACCTTTGAGGCAACACATTCCTGTACAGATTATAGAACGTGCTTTTAATACTCTTGTATTATAAATGTACCGCAGAAGTTGAGGTGACCGAACGATACGCTTGGTTACATTTACATATTTTCTGGCATAATTTGACAACATAAACTAAGTCCATGGTTCGATAATCGGGCATAATATACCGATTTTACGGGTTGTTGAGGCACTTTGTCATTGTCGTCAATCGAATTTATAAACTATGAATTTCAACTGAGTAACTATTATTCTTATATGCTTCAAGGAGAGTGACAAAGATATCAAATCGAAAGCATTTTCATGACGTGGTATTGGAGCGCTGTCGTGAGTTTGTTATCAGTTGTAGTGACATCCATCCGCAGTCTAATCACGAAGATTCCTTTGAGATGTTAGCGCTTTGAGCCAAGTCAGAAACTTAACTGTTGTACATTGCCGATGTATCATCACGTCTAACGCTTTCCTATTCTGCTACATTACATGTAAACATAGTCAGTTTGTGTTATCTGAGAGACTAAAAGGTCGTGACGTTTTGATGCTTCGAAAACAATTCTGCGAGCTTGAGTTTGAGATATGTTCGGTGCTTCAAGTCTGATGAAGAGAATTGACGAGACAGTGATTAATAGCTGTGGGTGGTGTGCGATACGTGCTGTTAGAACTGGCTGCTAATTAGTGGGTTGGATTTGCCACCACAACTCAACCTTTTGTTTTCGTAGAGCTCGTTAAGTGCTTTGTCATGTGTAAGGCAAACGCAGACATCTTTACTAATTGTTTCCACACCAACCGAGTTACTAAAGTTAACTGTTGTTGAGAAATGAACCTCAAAAGTTAGTGTTCAGGCTAGAAAGATGACAGACACCATGAGTTAAAATATCTTAGATATTTAATGTGAACCAGGACGTTATTGTGTTGTATTGAGACTTAACTAGCGTAACCGGTCCGTGAAGCGACTTGTTTATGATAAACTGACGGTAGAAATATATTATCTTATCTAAAATATACCCTGTAAACAACGTCGTTTCCAGCTCAACTTATTTCAAACAGCGTATTGCTGAATGATCTGGCGTTAATAGCCTTAGGTGGACGCCCTTCTTGGGACCTTTAATTAGCACCATAATTAGACTATTGAAAAGATTGCCAACCTCCACTGCGTATCTACAAAACCTATTTCTCGCTTGCGACCTCTTCAGTCAGCTGTCTGAAAGTAAAAAGGTTGGTGCTGTAATCAGCGCAGATGTTTGGATTTATTACTTCCCAAGGAATTATGAATAAAAATGCTTCTATTGAATGCTTCGCTTTAAAATCACGTTTGAAAGCGTCCAGGGATGACTTGAAAAAGAACTTAATCCATTAGCCTATGCAAATTTTACTTGTCTTTAATCATGAATGTTTAACGTAGTATTCAAGCGTGGTTCATTTTTTTTGGTCCATACGTGTACTTTTATACAGTTTGAATGGTCCGGAAGGATTAATAATCCCGAGTCATTTCGTTTGGCAGTTTCAGCCTGCTCTGTGGTAAATGTTTGGCATACTAAGCACTTCATGGCCGAATAAGCTGACAACAGTGCATTCAAAAGAGCTTTATTACCGATGGTTTGTTCAAGCGAGTGGGCCGGCAGGTATTAAATATTTCTGATTAAAACAAACATTTAGTCAGCTTATTCAAACAGTGGCCGTTACAGTTCTTTCCCCCTTTTCTCTTCGTGCTTGTGTATTGCCAAGCAGTCGGTTGCAAAATCTTTTCCAAGATTCTATTGTCTTACCAGACCAGATCCAAAATCCCGACGTAATACCGACAACCAACGCCATGAAATATTTGATAATAAAAACCGAATGGTCCGGTCGAACCCGATTTACATTGTTGCAATCCGCACAAACCACGGATCTCTCCCAGGTTTCCCTGTTTACAAATTCGTAAAAATAACAAGCCACAACAATAGTGGCGGGCACAGTGTATAAGACAGAGAAGACTCCGATGCGAATCATTAGCTTTTCAAGTTTATCAGTTTTGATCAGTTTATCAGTCTGCATACGTAAAACTTTCCGAATACGAACCAATGAGTAGAAACCCGCTATTAAAAAAGACGTCCCAAACACCAGGTACACGAGAAGGGGTACAACAACAAAAACGATTAAGCTTTGTAGGTTGTGATTTCCGACAAAACAAATCCCACTAACTGGGTCTCCATCTACTGTAGACATCGCTAGGACAGCAATGGTTTGTATCGCTGGAACGAGCCATGCGGCCACATGAAAGTACTGTGAATAGTTGGTAATGGCCTCCGTTGACCACTTCATCCCAGCAGAGAGAAACCAGGTGAAGGACAATATGACCCACCACAGTGACGATGCCATTCCAAAGAAATAAATCAGTAGAAAAACGATGGTACATGCGGCTGGTCCTGATGTTTCGTATCTCATCAAGCCTTGAGAATCGCATGCTACGTTCTTGTATCCGGCGATGAAGCGAATGATGTAACCTATGGCCACAAAGCAATAGCAGACGGACAGAAAAATGATCGGTCGCTCGGGATATCTGAACCGTTGCATGTCGATTAGAAACGTCAGCGAGGTTACGAGGGTAGAGATAAAACACAGGACAGCCCACAGTCCGATCCAGAATGATGCGAAGTTTTCTTGATCTTGCGAGAAGTACGTTCTATTACAAGACATTACACAGTGTGGGACACCCCCCGTAGAAATGTCCCGCAAACTCGGTTTAAGTTTTTCGTCAGTTAATGGTACAAACGGCGGTCTGCACGAGCAACAGTTGACCGCCTGATTGCCCGAGTCACCTTCTTTCGCCGATATCGGAGCTCTTGTTGTCTTACCTGTTGTTGACGTCTGAGTAGGTTCACTTTGATTTTTTCCTACACATAGCTTGTGTCCAAATTTAGGGAAGTTTTCGCATCTCATTCGCTTGGGCCACGAAAAGCCGTACTGACGCATAAGAGGCGCACAACCTTCCTTTGCTTGTTGGCAAAGCGATCGACATGGGGGAATTTCTCTCCTATAGTTCGGCTGACATATGGGGGCATACATGGAGCACAGAAATTCCTTCAGGTTTGCCGAACACTTGATCTCGACTAGCGGCCAGAATTGATGAACTTCAAGCGCCGCTTCTTCCTGTGTGTCGTGGTTGAACATGTTTGGCATGTATGTGAGATTGTAGCCAACACTTTGACACAAAGGTATCTTGATCTTTTCACATTTCCTTTCTCTGCTGAGAACGGCGTAGAACGCGCTGGAAAATATCAAAGCTACATACACGATGCGGTGTGTTACATCCATTGCGCCCGCTATTTTGAGAGTGATTTCATTCTGGCTTCAGCGAGGTGTTTTGTCAGTGTTTAGTCGATTGCATGTCACCCTTGTCATTAGATTAGCGATATTGACAGATTCACACAGCGACCAATCAACGAGCGAGGCTCTCTCATTAGTGAATTGTGGCATGTAATTCGCACATCAATGAATGGAACTTTTAAGCCAAAGCCATTAGCAAAAGAAACGCAATTCCTTGGAAATTAGCGCTTCATCAGTCCTATTCTCCTCGGTTCATCTCGCTTTTGTTGTGAAATTTTCCACAAAAGATATTTCTCGTGTTTGGCGTTGTCTCATGGCGCCCTTTGATCTGGTGTAAACCGCTTTTCGGTAGCCTCACTTGGCGTCTTGCGCGATGTTTGCCCTCTAAACAAAATGCAAATATTCTAAGGCTTAGGCTTAGCAAATATTTGCTCACGGATTATTGGCTAGATGTTTCGAGATCTGCATATCTTTTCTCACGCGCACTATATATCACGCCTCTTACGCCATTAACACACCGCGATAGCAAAGCGATGACAGCCGAACAAAAGGGTTGAGGTACAGGCAGCGATAAGGACTTACTCCATACATCCAACACAATATCGCTCCAAATTAAATAATTGCAATTCTCGTTTTTTTTTTTTCATTCTTAGACAGTCACAAACACCTTTCAGCTTGGTTCCAGTTAGACTGCACGAGAAAGTGACGTCTAAATAGGCAAATTCAGTTTAGTATGTATAGATTTCACCACAAAACGAAACACTGATTCTTATCGAAGAAACTGTCGTACTGGGAGGGAACCGAAAAGAAGTGATAAGTAATGTTTAATAAACTGACAATGCCGTGACGCTAATGAAAAGTGCAAGGCCATTTGCAAGCGTTAAAGAACTTCTGACATGTCTCTTAATAGGTTTTTCTTTCGTTCGCGTATCCGGATGGGAAAGAGGAAAAATGACGATTGCTTTCACTTTCGTATATTTGTGCTGGAAACTCAGATTTTCTCTAGACAGCCTCAGAAGTAGAATTATGGCAATTCAGAAAACGTAACGAGTAAGAATTTCTTTGATTTTCGGTCCAAAATATCTTTGCTGGATCCTCGTCCGATTCAAATGTTGAAAGCTCGTGCCGTAACGTAAGTTTACCGCGGGAGTAAATAGTTCGCCGGGGCACTCAGCAGGCTAGCTTGACGGAAAACAGCGAAACTTTCTTTACCTTTCTCACGGTACATATTCAGTATTTATCGCATCATCTAACATTTAAATCCTTTCGCTTCAAAGTAAACACTCAAACTCAATGAAATGGTAAACATTAACAGTAAATATTACGTTCTACAGCAACTTTAACAACGTTTAATGGCAACCAACTTTTAAATCTTAGGAAAGCTTATATTTTGATATTATTTATATTTTATTGTTGGCTTCAAGTGGACCGTCTCGCTTCGATGCTGAAATATACGCTTTCCTGTTAACCATAACTTGTTTATATTTTTCATCTTTACAAGATTATTAGGGCTTTTCAAGGCGACAGCGAGACAGGGTGTCGATAATTATGGTCAGTAAATCTTTTGTCTTACAAATTTCCTCTCTATTGTTACAAAAAATGTGAATGCGTACATAACAATGAGGCATCGAGAAAGGTTTCTCCGCCCTCCGTACTTCAGCAACAAAGATACAGAACATGATGTTAGGAAGAAGAAATAAACAACAAAGAAAAGCTAAAAAGCCTAATGTAATACGTTAAGTTTTGGGCTTAATGTTTCTTTTTTTATATATATTATCAGAGGCGGCATTTTAAAGACCAATATACTGCACAACAATACGCCGAATGCATCGCTGGATCACAGAAAAAATTTTCGCAATCCTAAATAAGAAATATTTCATCAAACAAAAAATAAATCTCTTCGACAAGTCGATTAGTTAGGGTCGAATCAAATGTCTAGCTGTGTCGTATTAGATTCCCGTTAGCCATGATTTTAAACATTTGTTGCGCAGTCAAACACTGTAGACCAATATCTGTTCGTGTTCGATATTTTTTAAAAATGTAGCATTTTTAGAATAGTTAAAGAGGGCCTAGTCATCAAAAGCGATTACTGTTAAGATTACCATTTGCACAGATAACTAATCCACTAAAAAGTGGTCTTAAATGCGAAAGCACCGCTTGAATCCTTATTACGATATTTCCTCGCATTGGTGATCACAGTAGGAATTTTGAAGTAATCGAATCACTGGTCCCATACCCCTCTCCTGCCTATAAGTTATCCAAAATACAATCCTGTTTTTTACTTTCTTATATCAAGCTTTGGCCATTAACCATTAAACCATTTATAACGTTTGAGTTTTGTTGGATTAATTTCAAGATACTGTTTCTTCATTATATCAGATCAGTTCACCGTTACAACAATGGCGGATGAATTGAGACTCACTCCGGTCCAATCACCTTTCGAGTGAATCCATCGAATACCTAAAGTTGCAGTTACTGGAAATGAAATGGATTCGACTTAAAAAAGAAGTTTTGACTCCACCTATTTCAATTCAAGAAATATACAAAAGTTAAGTCAACCAATCAATTGTTACAAATATTTACCAACTGCGAGTTTACAAGTAACCGCCGTGGTCGTGTGAAGAGGCCTGAAAAGAAAACATAGATTGCCGTTTAGGAACGTGTTGAAAATTTGAGGAGGAACTCGTAAAGGTGGGACATACTTGACCCATACTTGATTTATCTGATAAGGCGAGCCAAACATGGAGGGACGAATTTGCAAGTGGATGAAACTTCCAGTTCTCAAGTGTTTATATCAGTTGATTAGAGTCATGACACAACCTTTAGGAAACTGTGCGCGAAACATGGCTCTGTAAATAATAGTGATGATCTATCGCCATGGTTGTGGTTTTCGTCTTTTATATTCGTCGGACGGTCTATGTCAATGATTTATGAACGTTTATCCTGTCGTATGTTGCACACCAGTCCTTTGTAACACACTTCGCATCTTCAGAATACCTCGCCACAAATGGTAGGAGTGCCACAAAAATCACAAATGATAGCAATAAGTATAATCCTGGCCCCAGTTGTTCAGAGGGCGGATAACGGTATCCAACGGATAAATCGCTATCCAGCGGATAAGTGTTACCAAAACGTACTGTGCTATCCACTGAATACAGATTTATCCAGTGCATAGCGTTATCTATCCTTTGAACAACCGGGGCCTGGTAAATAAAAATGATGATGATAATGATAAATATAATAATGAAATAAATATAAAAGTAAAAGCAAGTGCCTTTTCTTATTGCCCCAAGAGCCCCCGGCCACCGCTACTGGAATTGCCACTGTTCTCCCCTTCCACATTCGAGTGATTTCTATTTCCAACTGTTTGCACATTGAAAGAATTTCTGATGCTTCGGTGTGAGCGTTCTTTTTAGAAGGCGTCGATGAGGTATACCTCTTGTCTCTTCTGTTTTCGATGACGGTTTGCTCTGGATGGGCATGCCATGAAAGATAGTTAGGTCAGTTTTCTTTTTTAACTCGAAAAATGGCCTAAAGCCGAGAGGTTTTTATGACTCAAAATTCACTCCCCTCGTCTAGCACTCCGTCACTCCTCTGTTCCATTCCTGATAACTTTTCAGTAAGTGCACGGCAGAATAGCGCAGAAGACTTTTCCAGTCAGTTCCTGTGCCAGGCTCAACTGATTGCGGAGAATTGATAAACTTTTGAATAGCCTCCTGAGAGATGCATGTCACGCGTGTTTAACGGATAACTGAGATCTGAAAAACGCACTTCTACTTTTTTGCTAGGTTTTAATAAAAAGGTTTGCTTCATCAATACCAGCCGATTTGCTAGGTTTGACCCTCTCAATCTATAAACATTATGACATCTCTCCTTCCTTTTAATGTTTGTGGTCATTACCATTTAAAGTGCAAAACGGCTGAAGAGGTTTTAAGAACAGTGACAATAAAAATTAATCATTAGTTCTCAGCTTTTTACAAGTTTGTGTGAGTACGAGTAGGTTTGAAATGTTCTCTTTTTGCGGTGCATATCTACCTTAGTCTTTCACGACCATACATCCATGTAGCGCGACTGGGTAGGACTGGATACTACTAGTTAGTACTGAGAGAGAAATTGCAGTAGCGTTGCAGTTGTGTCTTCAGTTGCGGTTATGTCCTCACAACTAATAACCAATAGAATGTGGTTTTATTTCTTCCAATCAAAAGGCGTTGTGAACGTGTCTCTTGCATGTCACTTCCCAACTAGGGGAGGGATGCAATGCAAAAATATTAATTGTAAGAAGATCGTTAAGATTTCCGCGCTCGAAGGTTAAGAATTTCACGGGATATCCTTGTTTCATGAGCTATCCTTGGTGTCGTTTGGGACACTTCGGATTGGTGAAAGATTAAGATTCTGGTTGCGTTTTTAAGTGCGAATTATTGGCGAAATTTTCTTCGATACGTTGGAAAGCTTAGGAAGACGAGAATTTGACGTTCCCTTACCAAATCTACATATATGTGACATATATATGTTACATATGTATGCCACATATANGAATGTTGGCTACCATGGCTCAAGATGGAGGACCACGTGGTGAGATAAACTAATTTCTTCTCTGCCATCCTGAGAGGGTTTCTCATACTTTCAGAATAGAACAGAATTTTGGCTAACCTAACAACTCAACAGGAAATCGTCCCTTTTAAATTGAATGTTCTAAGGGAGTTCTTGAAGTTGCTTTGAGGTTTATCGCCTATCATGAAATGAAACCAGTGAACGAGGCTGTTAGGAATTACACACAACTTCAGATGAGGGTGTCTGGCATAGTGAAGTACTAGTGCATTTCATCCCTGAGAAGCAATCAAACTACTGTTTTCTCACTTATAACATTACTTAAAAATTAATAATCAGTGACTTTAGGTGTCAGGCATATCAAAGAATATTGGCACGGAAAGAGGTCCTCTCCCTAATGGTTCATGTGCACATTCTAGGGTGAATGTTATTATATCTCTAGTATGAACATTGGTGGTGATATTTTTGATAAAGGCCATCACTGGACGGCCATGTTTACGGATTTTGAAGGAAGTATTAAACCACAGAGGCTCAGGACTAAACCGCTTTGTAAAATGTCGTATATTGACATTACTAAGTGATACATTTCTTATGTTTTGAAGGGCATGTGATTAACATGGACTGGCAGGAACAAGAAATAGTTATGGAAGAGCAGCTGGAAAGAGGAAGAGAAGAACAAAGAAAAAGGGAGGAGGAAACGAAAAGAGAGGAACAAAGAAGGGGAGAAGATCATTTTTCCGACACATACCTATACTTAAGTTATCCCTTTTAAAATTTTAAACCTATATACCTGTGTCACACAGTAATTCCTCTTTTTTTCGAATATGTGAAATCATAATCTCTTGGAAAACTACCCTATCAGGGATATAAATTTAAAGTATATTGATTCTTTTTTTATTTTTAAGTGAGCTTAATGATATCGTTTATAATAGGACAGCCATATTAGTACGTCAATGTCATCGGAAGACATTAAATATTTGGAAGAGAAACTTAAAACTTGTCCTTTGCTTACATAGATTTTTCTTTTGTGAAGCCCGACTAAGTGACTCTTGATGTCATGTTAAGCTCTCCTTCGGTTTCACAAGTAAACATGCAGCACGTTGGAATGGGACGACAGTCGTTCATGGAT